AGGCCCCCTGACCCTGGACCCTCAGCAGGCCTTCCTCGGATAGACAGGAACCAGAGGGGCAGTGTGGCCCAGTAGCCGAGCACCTGGGCTCTGATGTCGGTCAGGAATATCTGGGAAGATTCTGCCCCCGTTTCATGGCTATTGTTGGCTGCTGTCCAGTCAGCCCCCTCTCCCAGGGACACTGTGCACAGCAGACCAAGCACTGCCCGCTCCACAGCCACCCACACAGCCCCGATGATAGATCTAGCAGTTGTGCTCGAGAGCGTGGGTGCTGATTTGTAGAAGCCCGTCACCAGGCTGTTCTTCCTAGTCCATGTGAGTCTGGAAGTGCTGCGGGAACGGTTCAGCAGCAGCCTCTCACTCAGACCTCCACAGACAGGCCAGTGAGGCTCTGTGTGAGTGCATCGGCCTCGAACCAAGCCCGATTGGACAAGGATTCCACCAGGGAGCTGGGGACCCCTGAGACAATGGCCTTTAACCTTCAGGTCCGGAACTGAACTCACCCCCACGTGGAGAGTCATCAACCATATTCCCAGTCCACAGGCAGCGCTGACCCCAGGACAAGCTCAGGGGGTTGGGAAAGGAGGAGGCAGGGAGCGGGGAATGCAGGCAGGAGGGGGAAGCGGTGGCCGTTGAAGGGACGGCTGAGTTGAAGCAGCATGTGCAAGAACCATTGAATGGTCAGCTGTGATCGGCTCTGCCCGGCCACCGTCTAATCCACAACATGACCTAACCAAACTCACTGCCGTCCAGTCAATGCCGGCTCCTGGCGGCCCTAGGGAACGGGCCAGAACTGCCCCTGGGAGGTTCTGAGACGGTGACTCTTCACAGTAGAAAGTCCCATCTTTCTCCCTCGGAGCAGCTGGTGGTTTCAAACTGCTGACCTTACCGTGAGCAGCTCAACATGTCACCATGACGCAACTAGGGCTCCTCAATTCACAATACCAAGTTTGGAAGACAAAAAGCAAAAAAAGGCTACCAGCTGTTTCTATCACAAGCTGTTTGTATAACAACCCTATAGGATAAGTAGAGCTACCCCATAGGGCTCCCGAAGCTGTAA